CATAACTAGAGAAAGCTTTTTATCACCACAGGCAGACCATGAAGCCACAAAGCCAATACTGGCTCATAAAACCAGCGGAGGTGGGTTTCAGTGGTCTACATCACCGGAGGCAGGCTGCATGATCAACGATGACATTGGTGGTGTTCTCCGTTTGTCGTTCCTGGTCGACCCGCTTAGAATACGCACATTTTCCATATTTTGTTTGTTCTTGCATAGCGGTGAACTGTAATCCGTTCGTGGAACATTCTTGACAATGTCAGTCATGCTGTTGCAAACTCCGTATGTTAGACAACGCACATTGCTCAGTCATTCCCATGTATGTTTCTGATCCGCCGTGAGTTTTGGGTTGGTCTTTTGGTTTTTTTATGTTAATGACGGGGACTGAAGGAATAAGGTTTTGGTGGAGTTACATATTGGAAGGTCAAGATCGTTTCTAACTTAGCGATAAGGGGCAGAGACAATGGGACTGCTGAACTTTACTTTTGCTCAGTTGAAAATGGACGATTCTCACACAGACCAGATCGCAGAACTCTTCATTTGGGCTTCTCAGTTAGAGGTTTGAATGGTAAGACATAGACCGGAAATAACTTTATCTTCAGCTAAAATACAATGCAGGAAGGGAAGGATAACTTAGAAGGCTGGAGTGGAGTGGGACGGTTTGTGGGGACGTGGATCATGATGAAAGAATTGTGGATGGAGTCTGCACATACACAAATAATGGGACGTTTATTATGAGACTTACAGAAACGTTATATTAGTTAAATCTGTTGGTAATTGATATTTCAGAGTTTCACATGCATTGAACTTGAGCACATGTTGTATTCATTCTACGCTTAATAAGGGACCAACTTCTTGTGATAACGATTTAACTAATGAGTGGTTATGGCTGTCATCTGTTGGTTATAGGTCAATTGAGGAATTATCGTAAATAACTGTGGCGGTGCAACTTCACAGCTTAAAATGATCTTTGATTACAAGTGTAAATTACATGCTGGGCAGGGATTGATGCTGGAATTAGCGCTTTGTATGCACTAAGAAAGTGTCATTACAGATATCCGTATGGATTGCTTTCAACACTATTTACGTTAACACAAGTATAACTTGATATGGACTTGATATCAACTGTGATGAGATTGTCTACTTTAGCCAGAAACGTTTTAAGGTATGATTTATGGGACGCAGGTTGATTGTTATATATGTTACAGGATGATGAGATACTGAGACGGGGTTGGTTGGAGGAATTGATATATGCACAATTTATTGGCACTAAGTGCATATTGCTTATATCACACGTACTCGTGATGTGTACATAGAATCTAGTCAAACATCACCATTGCACAACACATAAGATCTGGAGACTTTGGGACTTTTATAATCATGTAGGGCGCGTTGGCAAGACATTGATCGTTTTTTTTTTTTCACAAATGCAGTTGTTTATTAAGATTCTCCTATTGTGCACACCTCAATAGAATTCTCGCGTATAACTTTTTTCTTTTCTTTTTGTCGGAGCACCGCTCTTGGTACAGGAGGTTCGTTAAGCGCCTGTGGGCTGTTATCCGTTGGATGCTTGGTATCAAGCTGAGACTGTTTGTCATTACTAACTAGTAAAGATGCTATGTTGTTACACTCTCTTCTCACCCTGACTGGAAGACGCATATGTGTTGCTGTTCCGGTCTGCTCAGACCGGATTCCGAACTCATTCTAACTGATTTGGCTTTGTTTTTGTAGATGGATCAGTTCCCGGCACACGGTGCACCGAGTTTGGATTTGTGTTGTCCACTAATATGACTCTTGTCTCAGGTATCCTCCTCATCACGTCATTCTGCCCAAGCGCATTACGCATTGCAGAAGTGCAGTGGCACAGCTGTATATCTCACAGAGTTAGTTGATTTTGGATGTTTTAATATTTTTCTGGCTATCTGTGGACAGTTTTTTAATCTGACGAAACCATTTTTCATCATAAGTCGGCTTTTTCTAGATGGTTCTTTGTCAGCTCAATCTGCTGTTTGTAAATGCTTGCCTACTACATCAGATTCTTTCTTAGGGAACGCAGCTGAAAGGCTACCAGAATCTTTATCCTTTGTTGTCTCACTCGGTTCTATTTATCATCTTACGAATGCGTCTTTGCACAAGCGTTGTGGCGCCTGCGTGCCCAAGAAGAGAGTGTGGAGGGGACCGTCTGCCTGCCCACATTTTTTCTCAGCTTCATTGACACATGTTGGCTGTTCAAAGGGGAATGTTGGATGCATAATCACATGGTTTCTCTATTCTAGCAGGTGAAATCGCTCCATCACGCTTCACTTTTATGTTCAGCTGGCGCGGTTGGTGATTAGGGATTTCGAGGACTGCTAAACGTTGGCAGGTCTTTAGTTTGCAATTGCCTGTGAAAGATGCTGAGAGAGACGTGGTACAAACCACTGCAGGTCTGAACAAGAGGAATTTAGTGTCACCTGATGACGGAGGCGACGGAGCAGGAGAAAGAGCAGGAGAGACGCCGCAGGATAATTCGCACTGGTGGTTACTTTTTCAATGATACTGCACTGATTGATTATTTGTTGGACTAACACGACGGATCTATTGTCAGAATTGGAACATAATATTCATAGGTATGTTTTCATTAGTTTATAATCACCTGAAAATATCTAAGATAGATTTTGTCTTAGCGTGTATTTTTTAGGGTTTTGACAGTTTTGAAATCTACAGAAGTCTTGCCACTATCAATTTATCATTAAGATCAGTTTTAAGGTCATTTGTTCCAGCATCTAAATTTCTGTCTTATGTGATAATAAACTCATTATCTTTAGGTTTTTAAGTCTTGGTTGAACAAAACAAGCATCTAATTTTACAACTTTCTGATAAAAGACTATCATTACTTGCAGCCCTTAACAATTGTGTTGCTTGAATGTCCATATTTATCAAATACATATCAGTGTGATATTGTTTCCATATTTCAATGCTCTCTGCAAATAACAATTATTTTAATTATTGACAGATCTGCAGATTATTTTCTTGATTGACTGATTAATCGTCTGGTCTACAGAACACTGGGAAACTGTGAATTCTTGTTTTATCCTGCCATTGGTCCACAACCCAAAGATATTTTGTTTATTATAATGTGGGATAAAGAAAAGAACCAGATCCTTACACTCACTGGTAAAAAAGAATATTAAAATATTGCCTTTTATTTCAAATCTCTTTATGTAGAACTGAGCTTGTATTATTTTTATATGAAATAGGATGCAAGAGTGAGACACATGGCAGGAAAGTTTTTATTCAAAAGTGTAGAACAATGTGAAACTGGTTAGAAACTCTTTCTTTATTAAAATAATGTGATGCTCTCTTGAACTGTTTCAGCTGTGAACTGTTTAAACTACTAAGTAATACAACAAAGGAATATGAAGCATTTGTAATCCAGTTTTGTTTTACATTAATTTATTTGTGATTCCCCCATCATCAACAGAAAACCAGTAATGTTTATGTGATTATTACTTAAAATAAAAATGTAAAAATTTCCTTCTGATCCATCATCCTGAGACCTGATAATTGAGCTAAATAAAATTTCTTTCACAAGACACAGCAGACCAATAAGAAGCCACAAAGCTCAATACTGGCTCATAAAACCAGCAGGAGGTGGGTTTCAGTGGTCTATCATCACCGGAGCAGGCTGCATGTCAACAGTGACAGTGGTGGTTTTCGTGCGATACTTCAACTCTCGATGCATCTGACACCAGGAGCACCACCCACAGAAACAGGAAGTCGCAATGTCCCGGCAGAGAGAACCCTGTGGACAACAAAAGTTTTAATTGTGCTTTTTTTACTGTGTTCTTCAGGTATTTTTTAATGCAGATATAGATTAGGCTTTCATTTAAACAAAAAAATCTGAATGCGTCACCTCGAGACCATATCTGTGTCGAAGGGCAACCCTCATAGACAGGCCTGCAGGTGGCGCACAGAGAGGCAGTCCACAGGCTGCTGTTATAGCAGGGCTGAATATGTCACATAAAGGGAGACAACTGTTTTCTCCAAATGTTCCTGAAACCGTGCAGGCGAGGCAAGGGCAGCACCAGAAGCCATAGCAGCCTGAAAAGCAAGCAGTTTTAAGTTGTAATAGAGTTGTAATATATAGTCTAAGTGGCTTTATATGACTGAAGGACATACAACTGAAAAAATAAGACAAAATATGACATTATTATGATTAAAGTTGTGGTCTTGATTCTTACAAGAACTTGTGTCCTCACAACATTCAAAGAGGCCGGTGTTCCACTCGGTCAAGGGATGTGCTGCCATTGGCTCTTGAACACAGAACAATTAACATAAAAGTTAACTAAAAGAAGAATATATGGGTGAACTTATTCTGTGTTGCACATAACAGAAATGTAACTTTTACATGCACAAATATATAATATTAATATTCAACTATTAATATTATTAAGAATGTTTTGAATGAACATTACAACTATGTTCTGTGTAAAGACAATTCATTTAAAATACAAATATGTTTTAATTGATTGCTACATTTTTGTTTTATGTATAAAATATAGTGACTAATTTAGATTTATCTATTGGCCCTTTAGTTTGACTGTAACAAACCAGCATGTGCAGGTCATTCTCGCTGAATGAGGTGTTAGGCTACACGGCCTGCAGAAAGAATGACAAGAGCAGCAACGCTCAGAATCGATGGCCTACAAGACTTTTTGTGCCTTCGGTTTTGAAAACATCTTAGTGGGCAAACTTTTATTCATCAGCAAGAAATCTGCAACACTGGCAACAAAAATAATCTTTGAATCAGCAACAAATTATTACAATATGATAAGATAATGAGTAAAATAAGATAGGATAAATTATCTTTTATATTAAATAATTGTTGTCCATCAATTGTAGACAATGTGTACAGTAAGATAGATGGGGATAGAATAGATCATTTATCATTGAATATCTGTTGTCCATCAATTGTAAATCAAAATATCTGTAAAAATATGAAAGACGTTGGCAACAGAGGAAGAAGCTGCAGTGACATAGAAAACTCTTATTCAGCTTTGTACACAGCACTCTTCTTGGTGTATGAGACACACTCAAGCAATGATACAAGTACCTTTTATTGTGGTTTTACATTTCAATATTGATGAATATCTTCATTAGTAAGGGTTGTTAAGTTGCACAGTATAACTACCCAACAGTAACTGGTATAGTCTTCAGAAATAACCAAGAAGCTACGTTACAAAAAACAACAATTTTGCTCTTTATAAACCAAATAAACTTTTGCTGGATTTTAGGCTTACCTAACCCCTAACACTAACTTTCAACACTTCAGATTAACATATATAATTTCTTATTAGCAAACCCAAAAAACCTTACCTGGTTGAGCTTAAAGTCTTGTTGTCACCTCAGGAAAGCTGTGAAAGAATATGTCTTGAATGAGGAGGGGCGCTTTGTGCAAATTGAATAAATAAACACACACAATCCTGTGGAACCTGAATTTATGTCAAAGGCATATTTGCACTCAGACCCTAGTTCCAAAAAAGTGTTGTAACGCTTTTCAAGAGCCAAACCCACACACACACAAGCACCAAATTCCCTTAAAATGCAATCTATTTAATACTTGAGTAAATGTACTTAGTTACATTCCACCACTGTGTTTGACTCACTGCCTGGACTTCTGCCGTTTCTTGTTTCTGACAATGTGATAGACATCTGGCTTGGACAGATCAATGCTTAAGCTTTGATGCAATGGAGTTGATCCACACATTCTCAGTACAGCCTGTTCGACATTAAGATATTGCTTAAGAAGAGGATTGAGGTACAAAACAACACACCAACCTGTACACCTACATTCTTGTGAAGCTAGATGCCTTCTGCTGGTGCATGTGATGTCCCACCTCCGTATAAATGTAAATTCTCCTGTCAGCAGGGTCATTCCTCAGTTAAATAGCTGCTTCATAGCTACAATGTTGTACCTCAATCCTGCCATACAGCAGAAATTAGTAATAACATTTAATTCCCTTCAGTTGGTTTCTTCAGAAACAACAAATGTGACTGCATAATTGTTGTTTAATGGTTTGATTATCTTAATTGTTTGCTATTATTATATTATCGTCAATTTACCTGTAACCTACATTACCTTGTGTCTATCATCCTCAACCACATACTTTGTTGTGTTTGAAAGTGTTTTATGTAATAGAAGAATAGAAGCTTTTGTGAGCAAATTTGATGTAAAAGATGACAATATTTATGTTTTATGACATTATTAGCAAATAAAGAACATAAGTTAGGCCCAAATCAGAAAAGCTAATAGGTAACCATGTAAGTGACTTTATTTGTTTAAATTGAGGTGGAGCACCAAAACATAGAAATGAGGGAGTGACACACCACAATATTATGCACGCAGTACTCTTGCAACTTTAATTATGTCTCAAGATACCACGTGGGGAACCTTTTTTCAGAAGGTCTTTTAGGAGTCCTTTTATTGACACCAAGACTGAATGCTCTCTCTCTTCCAAAATGACAACCACAATGAGCAGCACCACTTTATCATTTATCTTTTTTAAATTTCCTTTTTTTTTTTTTTTTTTTTACTTATCCAGGGAATTAGAAATACAATTAGTAGTCTGTCATTATTCTCCCCTTTTGTCCAAAACGAAGACATATTCTGCTCTGTTTCTGGGACTTGACTGGAAGGATTTAACACTTAAACACACAAAAATAAATTTTTGCTCTGTTTAACACACTTGTCCGAAGTCTCCAAGAGGTGTTCTGTTGGGGATCTGGTGACCGTAAAAGCCAAAGCATGTTCAGACTCAAACCATTCAGTTAACCCTGGTGCTTGATTATTCCAGTTTTGTAGATCAAGACAATAGATTACATAGTGAGTGATTCAAAAACCTTTATTCATAGCCATTTTAAAGTTATTAAATGCTTGTGATTTAATCCTTTTGCACCAAAAAACAGAAACGTTTATCCTGCTGGTCATCAGTGGTAGAGCATTATAATATCCCACTCAAGGAGAGGTAGTCTGCGACTCAGAGTCACTCTCACAGCCCAACACACGTATTCTTATATCTGCTTAGTAATATTTAAATGATGCCAGTCATTTATATGGCCGCTGTGGAAGGGCCAATGGAGCCTCCTGACCATACCTATTATATTATCAATACATTCAACCATTGACTCTTCAACTTCAACACTCCAAAAAGTTGTGACCATCTTATTTGGCATGAAAACATATATACTTATCACATATTCCATCATAAAGCAAGCTTAAAAGAAATATCCACTGTAACACTGTAACTGTAGGCTGCTCTGTAGATCCAACCCTTAAGTTGTTCTTCCAATTAAAGTATTATACAAGTTAATAATAGAAGGATTGTGACTTAAAACATACACAGTTAGAGTAAAGGCAGCTTAATCACATTGCACTGCACCACTGCTGTTCATTTTTATCTGTGAAATGGTGTCAAGAATTTCATTAATTACTGCATGGCACATGCCTGTATATCATTTAAAGTCACATATTTGCATCATGTAAAGGAGAAAGACTTTTCCAGTGGTCTCCTCTTAACCAGCTGTTTAGGCACCACCGTTTCCAGTAGCCTTCTCACTAGGTCCAGTCTGCCTGTCCTGATCAGAGCCCTGGATAACTCTGTGACCTCTGCTGTGTGAGTCCTGTAAAGGCACCTCAGCTCGGCCTTCACGATGTCCCCAGGGTACCTCTCCTCAGCCTTTTGCACCCACAGCTCCAGCTGGGTGATGGCGAGGCTTGGGTCAGGGCCACCCTGCATGAACAGAGCCAGTAGGACCTGTAGGAGGCAGCGCAGGGCTGTGGTGTCTGTGCCCCCTGGTCTCTCTAACTCCAAAGCCTGTTTGAAGCAGTCTGCAGCGTTCTGCTCCTCGCCCTTCAGCAGGAGGCAGCGTCCTCTGAGTATGTGGAGGTCCGGCAAGGTGTCACCCATCTCATACTGAAGGGCATGGGACAGGCTCACCAATGCACTGTTCACTGCCCCCTCGTCCACTAAAAGACTCTCCTGGAGTGCATCTACACCCATGTAGTAGAAAATCTAGAGGGAACGACATGAATCTGATAAGCCTGTTGCAGTAGAAAATCCATCTTTATTGCTCATTAGTTGTTTGTGTCTTTACCTGTGCCATCTCTAGATGAGTCCGCAGACATGGATGTACAGTCAGGACCTTGTCCAAGTCTTTTCTGGCCTCAGTTAGATTCTGTCGGTCTGGGATCCCTCCATGACCATGTTTGGCCTTCTCCAGTTCCCTGACATAGAGCATCATATTGATCTAAAAGGAGAACCTTTATAAATACTTGTACAAAACACCTTTTATTGATATCTTAATATATATTATATAATATTTAACTTTCACCATGCAGTGCACAAATATAACCATTAATAGTTCACACCAGCTCAAACATTAGATCTGATTGCACAAATATGTGAATTTTGTGCATCTTTAATGTAAATTCTCAAGCATTAACAATTGACTGAGTTTTGTGACTTTAACTTCATGTACTTTGGTTGCAGTACCTTGGCACGGGTGCAGTAGGCCTCCCAGTTGAGCTCTGGGTCTGGGAGCACGTTTAAGGCCATGTTGCAGATCCCTGTGGCCATCTCATGTTTGCCCAACAAAAAGAAAACCTTTGCCAGAAGGTTCAGGGTGAATGCATCATCGCTGGCCAAGTTTATAGCCTGAGGACACAGACGGTTATACTGTATGTTATTGGGGAAATATATAACGAGGTAGCACAAATTCTAAGTACGACAAAGCTTGCAGTGACACATCTTAGACAGACATATTAAATGAAATGACTTAGATTACATTATTACAACATTATTAGAGCAGATCTTACTTCTGTAATTTCCAATGTATTTTTGTACAAAGTATATAAACAAAAGGGGGAATTATATTTATTGGCAGGAACTGTATGATGTGGGCTGATGAAGCTAAATTAATTTTAGGTAAAGTTTTATATTCATATGGATTGAGACATTTCTACAAGACTACACAGCTATACAGTGAGCTAAACACACTTTCAATAAAGGTTGAAGACAGGTGTTGGCCTTTGAAGTATGAAACTGTGACACCCGCATTAAATAAAACACAAATAAATTAAATGATAGTGACTACAAATTAGGAAATGTAATTAACAATAGTACAGTCACATGCAAAACTGAATTCACAAAAGTAGAGGCTAATTATCAAACTAAGGTAGTTGTCCCTCAAGTCAGGAAGAAGTGCAGAAATGATCAATTCCCCATCGCAACACATGAATTTATCTAGAAAACATATAAACAAAGAGTCCACAAGCCCAACCGTAATTAAACAGTTACCTAGAAGGTTGTATGTACCTCAAATTACAAACAAGAGTCACAAAATAATCTACAGATTAAGTACTTAAATATTTGGAGAGTAGATTAAAGGGCCCTGTCAATATTTGTTTGACCATAAAACAAACAAAATGGTGGACGTGCTAATGTCAGTTAAACTGCTGTGGAACTGTGGGAGTGTTTGCTTATAGCAACAGGAAGTTCAACTGAAATTAACTGCACTCAAAGAAAAATGACAGGAACTTTTTTGATAAGCAACAGGTCTTCAAAGGAGGGAAACGTTTATCAGATTGACCTAGAACAGGTCTCGGTAAAATAGTCCTAGCTTGGGTTAACTTACAGTTCCATAGCAGGACAGAGGTTCAGAGGCTGAGTAGCCACAGTCGTGTATAGACATGGGCACAGTGGTGAATTCTTCCTTCCTCTCCAACATGATGCCAACGTAACACCAGGCAAGAGCTGAGGGGAGAGACCGGAATCAGAAATGTTACCAGGTTCTACTTAAAGCTTGTTGTTTGTCTCCCTCCAAGAGTCAATGGTCAATGTACAGTGTGGGCTAATTAAACCAAATATCACCACTGCATTATGCATTTAACACAATGCCTCCAAAATGTACAACAGAGCATATATTCGTAGACAACCTTTGACAGTATACAAACCTACTGTGTTTACCTTTGTTTCGTGTTTTTTCAGATGCTAGGGTTTCTTTGAGAAGCTTCAGTCCCTTATTGTAGAGAGAGAGTCTGGAGTATTCAGAGTCTTCTTTGGTCTTTACTATGTCGTCCAGTCTGCGGGGAGAATACGACTTTCATATTTACAAATTCATATCTACACATCAAATATTTTGTATGTTTTTTAAAAGTTTTTGTACCTTATATAGATGGTTGCCATTTTAAAATACCAGCTTCGTTTTTCCTCAAGTGGTATCTAAAAAAAAACAATATTCGCTATCAATAAAATAACATTTATTGTGCAAGAATATTCAGGTACATGCCCAATAACATTGTTATTCCACCAAATAAACAGTTTCGTCTTTAATAAAAATAAATAGTAAGCTAAGGGCTCTCGGCTATGCCATATTTATGATTTTGTACAATAATAAAATTGTTTTGACTTGCTTTTGGGGTAATATTTGTTTTGTTTTGAGCTTAGTGTATTCAAAAGTCTTGAGCATAGCCACATCATCCAACTTCAGTAAAGGTTTGCGGGTGAAATGAGTCACAGAAGAGCAATAGATTAAAATATATCTAATAATTACTAACTGCATGGTTGAAGTGCCACCTAACTAAATGCTGGGAGGTGATGAGATGAGAATGATGCATGTAGTCTCACCACATAACCAGTCATTGTTTCAGTGTTCCTCCCTACATTTACACTCTACATCCTACTGTTAAACAGACATTTACAGCTTTATTCAAAGCATTGCTGTATATGTGTGTTTCCACCTCACCAGCTGATCCCCATAGTCCAGGGCTCTGTTGTAAAGTCTCAAAGCTGCTGTCAGCCTCTCTCTCAGGTCCTCCTCTTTGTCCAGCTCCACATCATGGGGATACACATAGGCCTGCTCCGCCAGGCAGCGGGCCGCCAGGAGTCTGATCTCTTCCTGAGAGGCCTCTCCAGCATCTAAGCCCATAAATTGGGACACTTTCTCCACACACTCCCCCGCATCAAGCTCTCTCCCCAGCTTGTCGTACACATAGCCCAGGTTGGCCCAGGCATTGAGGTTACCAGGATCTTCTTTACAAATGCTCCTGAAAGGCCAAGATAAACAGAGAGGTGAGGTTAGAAAAAAAGCTCCCTCAAAGAAGATGAACCTTGGTAAACGTGATAACATAATACCTGCGAAAATATTAGCATGTTAGCATTGTTTGAGAGCATGTTAGCATGCTGACCTTATGCTGTAGACATTAGCATTAAACACCAAAAGAAAAAAAGCACTGAGAGCCGCAAGCAGGGCTGCAAATTCTTTTTAACTGACTAACTTACTTGATTTTGGTGTGTAATACAACAAATCTAAACTAAAGTGTCACATATGAGATGCATAGTTTAGATAAAAGAAAAACACTAAGATAAGAATTTTAGACAGAACTAAAATGATATCATACTTTATGAGCACCCATACAACATGAAGTAGAATAGAAAAGTATAACATAATCTGCAAAAACTAATTATAAAGTGTATTGGTTTATTGGAATATAATTACATAATTGCTACAAAATTGTACTTTATTAGGCTATGAGTGTAATTGGATGTTAGGTAAGTCCTATATCTGCAGAGAACAGAGTTAGCAACATGAAGTGCTGTGTAGGCATTTAGTGTGGTGGTTCTTGGTTAGCTCACAGAGATTAAGTATGTAGTAAGACACATTTCAACTTCTGTGGTGTTTCTATAACTACAGAAGCTTAAAAACACATTACAAGTCAACATCTTTTGTGAAATCATGCATCACCAGTGTCTCAAAACCTCTGGCTTAGTGAATATTTGAAATATTCTGCCTTATTCTGAGAATCATCACCTGAATATTTCCTCGGATGTGTCCAGCTGTTCGAGGTGAAAAGCCAACAGACCCAGCAGATTTCGGACGGCGTACTGTAGATATCCAGCTTCAGCCTCGAGCTCGCCTCGCAAGCTCTCCTGTTTTAGATAAGTGTCCCTGAGTCTCAGCTTCACAGGCCCGACTGAATCACAGTTGAGGTTGAGGTCTAGGTGGAAGTGGCCAGGGATGTAGTCCATGTCCTCCATGAGAGACTCAATGTCCTCTGTACTGTCAGCCTCCATGGCTTCCTCCTTCTTATTCTCCTTGTCCCTTGTTATTTACATAAGAAAATAAACTTTAAGAAATAAAAATGCTGCATTTGTACATTTTGCCCTCCAATCTTTGACAAGAAAATTCCTCTCGTCTTTCCTTAACCTGCAGTTTCTTACTGTTGCAGAATTCATCCACCCACTCTTGTCATCCCAGTGCAGACAGGTTGAACAGGTTAGGCTTGGGAGTGACTAAGGGAGTGGAACAAAGTGTAAGGGGCAGGTATATGGATATATCTTTTTCCTGCACACTTTGTATCAAGTCTCCCTTTTGATTCTCATCCAAAAATACATAAAATCATAGGAATCCATTCTAAAAGTACATCACTTATGAGTTGTCATGAATTTGCTATTTGCCTCTTTTTTTATTTCACTAACAGAAGTACTGACTGACATTTCTTAAAGTCAGTTCTGACAGGATGATCTCATTTGTGTCTTCAGTTGTGTAAAAATGTTTATGAAGCCTTGTTTTGGAGAATGTTTCATTTAACCTCTTATACCCCAGGCTGTCAGTCACCAACAGAAGAATGTGAACCATCAGGATCAGTGTAACTAAAACATTGAAGGAAACTAAAAGAAAAAGTCTTCAGATTTTATGTTCTTTAAATTACCTTTCATTTCAATTAAAGATCTCTTTAGGACATAACAACATGAGTTAATTATCAAAAGATAAACTCACAGCTGTATGATGAGCTGATGACAGAGCATGTAAACACCTAGAGGAGATATGCAGATAGTCTGCAAAGAGTGCGACAAAAGCAAACATTGACTGTGAATCCTTGTTATCCTGACAAGTCACAATACTATCTTACAAGATCAGACACCATGATAAGTACATTATTGTTTCAGAATGGTTTTGCATACAAATCCAAACTCTTCCACCAGAGGGTAAACTTGTATTGTGATAAACCAGACTGACAGAACAAACATGTTGTAAGTCCACTATCACATGCAATGTCTTGATGATCTTTACAGACCTACAAAGTGGGTTCCAAGTAAGTGCAAACTCTCTAATAGGAATAACCCTCCTCAGACAGCTGGGTAGCAATAAAAGCCATTGACGGGAACAAGTCAATTACAAAAGACCAATATAAAATACATTCAAAGAGATAAGTCCCAGGAAGTACAGTTGGTCAGTAGTAAATGTTTCAAGGAACTTATTGACATTCATGTGCTGTGTGGTCCAATGTGGCCACAGGTTTAAGGGACAGTTGCAGGTTGATATTAGACTAATCAGTTGTTCAAAGATGGAGGAGACCAGGGTTTTCTGAACAGTTCAGTAGAAAACAGAAGTCCTTTTTTAAGGAAGGAGTTTCAATGAAAGGAGCACTTCTAATAAGAAACATGCATGTTTTCGATGGGGTTAGATCACCTGTAGCTAACCCACACAAATATCGAAAGAACATGCCCACACACAAGTGCCTCAGTCAGGTTTTAACACTAATGCACCACCTATGCTGCCCCTGAAACACCAAGACATAACCAGAGAGTGTGTTGCATAATGTGTATTTCAGTACTGCAAATGTACCTCCTCGTGGGCAGCCTTTTCCATTTGTACCATGTGGGTGTAAAGATATCTGAAAATTTTCTCCTCTTGACAACCGTTGCCATGGTGGCCATCATGGATACCAGGCTGATTGCATGGCAACATAATGATTACAGATGCTTATTTGTGTGGCTGTGTACCCTCCAAGCCAAAGACAGAATTGAAACAGCATTTTGCTCATAAAGGCTCCAATTTAGATAATAGATTTTACATCCTAGCAGCCAAGAGACAAAACAAAGGTATTATTGGGAAGATGTTGACCCCTAATAATCCCTGTAGCCTTTGCATTACTCCCCTCTAAAGTAGGATTAGGATATGTGCCCCACATACTGATAAAGGTCCCTTTGGTTTCAACCTAACCCCTTGTTAACCTACTTAATTGTTTCGTGTCTGTCTTTATTTTTGACACAATGAATGACGAGTGATGAATGAGTGATGAAGAATAATGTAAAGACAGTCAGGAAGTGAAGTATGAGCGAGAGGAAAGATGGCAGCAATGAAGCATCAAAGTTCTCTAAAATCCTTCTCTGCAGAGACATTACATTTACATTGACAGGAGCATAGCTGGGAAATCTGGGGCCCCTCACGAGATGTGACATTGAATACAAAGGATCATAGGATCACAGGAAAGCCTCATTAATCCAGACTTTATACCTTCCTTTCCCCTCCCTCTTAGCTCAGCTCTAATCGGTTACTAATACCTTTGTTACACCTTCACTATCTTGTTGTAACACTAGTTCAAAGTATCATTAAGAATGGATGGATTGAATGATTCATTGTGTATTGTACTGTATGTTGTCCATCTCAAACTGGAGAAAAGTAGCCTCATTATGGTATCCAGGTTCATCAGAAATCAAAAGGGAGACAGTCCTAATCCACTTCCCATCCTGAATACTACTTTTAATGTATTTATATTTAATGCAGATGTCCATCCCCATTTTAATGCAGACCCCCCCTATCCCTTATTCCCTTGAGACACACTTGGACATTTAATTAGTGCTTACACTGTAGCTGAAACCCCTCTGCCTTTCTAAGCCACTTAATCACTCTTTGATTACGACTGTATTTCCCTTCTTACTCAGCTCCTTGCTGGCACCCTGAGTGAGTGTTTGCAGTGTAAAGCAACTCTTCAGCTCTCCAGAGGCCTTCTCTGACTGCAGATTACACTACTGAATGTCTCTTTGTACTGTCTCTGTGTGTAAAAGACATATATGGGAACATTTTCAGGGAAATCTTAGCAAAGCAAATTTACCAAAAATGATGACTAATAGTGTTCGTGCAGGATTGTTATGATCTGTTTCAAAAAAATCCCCGGCCCTTCTGTTCCGTCCTGGGTAAAAATTGGATTGTTTAAATACCTTGTTAGCCATGTGTCTTTGTTATTTAGCAACTGTGGATAACATAATCACCAGATATGTTTGCTTTCCCTCCCATGCCGAAATGGGAAAAAATTACACTCACCATACACCTTATTGGTTTTCCTTATTTACCGTGTCTATTTCCACTGACAGTAGCATTTAATCTCTATTGCCCCGAACTATTGCCAGTACATTGCATCAGTGCACCAGTATCATAACCATGAGTTTTAACCTGATGTATTATGGCAGCCACAGCGCTCCTGGTTCCACATGAGGAGATCCAGGAGGAAAAATCTGCCTGGACTGAGTCTGCGTAGGCTTGAAGAAGATTGTCATGTGGAGCCACAGGGTGTGAGTGTGTGTAAGTGTATTGAGTAATGTGATAGTCTTAAGTAACACAGACATCTGTCATATTTCATTACACTGATTAGACTCTTCACCTACACCACTCCACAGGGGCTCTGCTGCATCTAAGCAGCTTCTCGGTGAAATGATGTGAAATCAGCAAGGGTGAACACATATTGCAAACCTAATTTATGTTAGTAAGATTTCTATTTTTGGATAGATTTAAGTGTAGAGTCTGCTGCAATAGAAGTCATTGAAAAGTACAGGATGTGCTGGAACTACATAGTCTGTTCATACTGTTCATTCAGATGACAATATGTAATGGTTTAATACATGAACATGGGTTAGTGTTTGTGATACAGACACATTTTGAGTGCAAAGGAATTACACAAGTATGATTTTACTTTAATTTAGATAATAATTTTACTTAATTGAATGCACGAATTTTACTTGTAGGCTGAAGGAGAATTTTTTGTATTTGTGTCCTACTTGAGTACATTGTTTACTCCTCGACTCAGACTTTTATTTTGGTAGTTCACAATACTCAACCCAACGTGTTTCCTATACGCATGTTTTATTTTGAAGGTCTAACCGGAAGCTGTATGGTGTTATTGTAGGTGCATTGACAGTCTGGGGTTTCTCACTCTGCGGCTGCTGGTCGCTGTCATCATGCAGGTGGAATCTGCGCAATGTGGCTCAGTTTAGGGATCTCCATCAGGACACATCAGCCTCCACCGGCCCACAGACACACCGGACACCGGAGATCACACTGGGAAGGAAGCAATCACCGACCCACGGAAAATAAACTAATAAATTAGAATTTTTTTTGTCTTGGCTTCACCAATTTGACACCAGATGAAAATACAAAATTCCTCTAAGCATGCTGCTGGAATAACCACACGCTGTCCTGTTGATGCTGTCAGATTGTTTTGCTCTCCTGGTGCAGTCTAACTCAGCTGGAGTCGTATGATGCCACACAATCCTATAGGAAGTGACTCCTTCATCTTGACAGACAAACAGTTCCCAAGAAACGAAAAGGACGCAATCTTTGTCCTGCGGTTCTTTTCGGCTTGAACGAACACGGACACGATGGATGAAGGCACTGCCAGCGAGACCATCCCAGATCTGAAAGACATAGAGGTGAAAATCGGCCGGAAGACCCCCGAGGGTTTGCTCAGGTGGATGCGGGAAGATGCGTCCTCTCTCCGGGGAGACGCCAAGCTGAGCACCGCGAACGACACCAGTAAGGAGACGGGGAGGAAGAGTTTGGATGAAAAGATCAGGAAACTGAAGATGGAGATGGTAAGAGTGCTTTAGTCGACTCTGTGTGTGTATGTGTGTGTGTGTGTGTGTGTTTCTCTATATGTGTGTACGTGCGCGCCCTTGCATGGTGGCCCAGGCTGCTGGACGTGTGGCAGACTCATGTTTTCCAGGATGTGGCAGTCATTGAAGTCACCGCAGTGTTGAGATATCATATTGATGCTTACAATACTTTATATAAAAATAATATGTAGTATGTTTTTGATACGAATGCAAGCTATTTCATGTTAACTATGATTAGCAAATTGCTATTAAAGACCAACATCTCAAAGGCAAAGTTTGAAATAATCACATCTGCTGATGATGGAGCTTTTCTTACACTTGAACTATAAACTGACTGATGCTGGAGTTTTGATACTGAGGTCGATATTTGGATATTTAAAAAATCTGATAAAAATATATCTGATTGTAACACACAACATAAACTATTTTGATACTGAGCAGAACATTTTAAAGTTGAAAAATCAGCACGTCCTCTCTGGTGTAAAGAGGTTTCTAAATAAACTCAATCTGACAGTGACATTGTCCTTGTACACTGTCTCTTGGCACCTATAGCAGTTGTTAGGCTTCCAGTAATCTCATGTGTTTTTAGTAATATCTTACTTAATCATATGCTACCACAAGTGCATTATATGTTTATGTACGAAAATTAGCTTAGCTTAGCATAAAGACTGGAAACAGTGGGAAACTGCTAGCCTGGCTCTGTCCAAAGGTGATGAAATGTACGAAATATACCATTTCTATGGCTCATTAATCAACTTATCTTGTTTGTTTAATATGTACAAGAACCAAAGTGCAAAAACAATAACTTGTGGTTTCATGCAGTGGTTATGTGCCAGACTATTATTTTGGCGGGGAGTAGTGACTTCCTGGAGTCTTGTGGTCATGGTGAAGTCACCAAGCAACCATTGGAGAGAGAGAGAGTGGTACAGGGTGGTATCAATCTTCTCATCCCACTCTTGGCAAGAACGTTATAGTAAGCGTATTTCCTCAGATTTGCAGGGCAGAGTTCGAGTTGAACAGGATAAAATTATTATTGAAATTAATTCACTAGTAAGATTTCAGTTAGTTTCATAATAAACTCAGGTATCAAAAAATCTATTTAACACTTACTTACTGTACACAGAGGATAACGGTATCATTCATCCTGGACTGAGTTTGTGACAAAGTAGATGTTACTGTATGAAATGCATCGTCTAGAGTGATAAAACATGACGTCTCTTCATAGTAATCAGTCAGGAACTGCTCCTCTCCATGCCAACAGCTGCAGTTGTGGTTGCTAGGAAATGAGTTGACCACCATTGACTGACAGGTGGTTAACAATCTAATCACACAATTCATAGTAGTTTTTATCACCTATGCATCACCTTTTTTCTATACATAGGCTACTGGTACTTAGCGTGATATATTGGTGTGACATAGTCGTACACCATCCCTCTAAATTGTATTGTTCTTTACATATTAAATTATTATCACATGTAGAAGCTTGCAAACTGCAATCCAGCGTTTTCCTTTGCCCGGCCAAGTCTTTTCTTTGTTTTGACAGAAGATTATTTCCCTTTGAGCAGTGGTTGATTTGTTCCATTAAACAAATATCTCTCTGTCTTCTTGTTTACATGGACCCCACCTCCTCCAAACAGTGGAGGTCTGTATAGCAATAATAATGCACAACACTACAGTTGTTTTTTCCCCCCTTCTGTGATCATGTATGTCATAAATTCCTGTGGTTGTGACGCAGAGCACCGCCAGCGATCTCCCAAACAAAGCAAGCTGTCGTCTGAGAGAGTTTTCTCCAAAACACATCGGTTACATTCAAACATCCAAAACACATTATCAGTTTGGTCTCTTGTTAGAAATAGAAATGTATTACACTCCAGGATTGTAGCAACACAAGCTCATGATGCTGGCGGTCCAGATGCACTTTAGAAGTCTGGAGTCCTTAAGAGGAAATAGTGCTCTCCCTGCTGTAACTGAACACTAGTGGAAGAAACATTATCAGCAGTACTTTTAGCAGTGTGAGCCTATAAATACTATTTGGCCCGCTTGCCAATATCTTGCATTTAGATGGTTGAATTTACACCTTACATTAAAAAGAGTCTGCACTAGATGAGCGTGGGCAGTTAGGCATACTGCATGTCACTTTAATATGTCATATTATTAAAGCATATGATGATACACTGGTACATAATTGCCATATGTGGCAGCGTATTAAAACCCTATTGTATGATCTTTATTGTAAAGTCGGCCAGGCAGATGTTGATAAAGCTGTTGAGCTAGTCGCACAAGGATGACAGGGAAAGACACAATGTATAGTTCCACCTGTACAACAGTATGCTAAACGAAATAAGAAAAGAAACACAACAGTAAAAAAAGCTACGAACAAAAGCATAAAAGGATAAAGCAACAGGTCAAACCAGAGTCAACATTGGTGTGGCTTTTCAACAATGAAGAGAACTGAGGGACAAGTGTATTATCTGATGGTTAGATGCTAATGTTTGTCTTTTTATTCTTTACTTTTTGGTTGTTGGATGTCTTGTTGACAGTTTAAAAAGCAAACGCAGGCACCACGACGTCTAGATAAATGTGTTGTCAGCCGTTACTACATCTTGTCTTGCAGATAGATTCATGGCATTTCCTTTTCTTGTTCTGTGTTAAAATGTTTGGAGGAAGAAAAACTTGCATTTTGTGTGTTTCTACCACATTCAAGGTCTCAAATTAATCCATTCTTCAAGGGTGTGCTTTTAGTCTTCCCAGTATCATGTTAGTAAAACCTTTACAGTCACATCATAAATCCCTCATCAACTACCATGATAGCATGCAGGTCCATTTGACAGTTTAACATGTAGAAATAATGGCTAAATAGATTAAATACCAGGTTAGAAGAAGAAGAAAGAAATATATCTGAATACGATATGATAAAAATTGTCAGGCTATCAAAATGGAAATTTCATAGAGAAATGAACTGTTTTAACCCCAAGATACTGATGTCAGCCAGTTTCTGTACAGTTGACAAAAACACCCATTTTAGATTCACAAAGTATCCAAAGAGTTTCTATAAATCTGTCGAGAGCAAAGGGCCAGACTGATTTGTTAACAGTTTTAGCCATTTATCAGGTCTGCTGCAAAAGAGGGAGGACTGAGAGAGAAGTGATAAAGAGCCACTTCCTAACTGGAGGGGAGTGAAACTTCCAGCACAGAGCCAGGCTGCTCTCTCTCTCTCTCTGTGTGTGTGTGTGTGTGTGGCTGTTTCATTCATCTATATGAGTGGTGTAGTGTAATGGGAGAGCATAAGAAGAGCATTGCACTTTCATCAGAAATCTGCTTAGTAAGATGTGCAGTAACACGTGCCGAGTGTCTGCAGAGTAATGCTAAATGGAAAAGCTGTACACACACTCGTGCACGCATACTTAATCTGTTTTCTGATGCCAAACACTTTCTGTCATACTGATAAGCTCATAAAAACCACACACACATACAGCATGTTAAGTAGTTGGCTAATATCTCCTTTTTTTCTCACTTTTTTTCAGTTTATTTGCATTTCAGTGAGTGTGCATCTGTTACTACTGTATCTGTAACCCCACAGCATGGTGATGGAGGGCTGCAGCATCTGTCTACTGTTAGATCAAGGATGTGGGTGTGTGTGTGTGTG